CGGTCTCTCCTGCCCGGGCTGGCTTTGAACCGAGATCCTCAGATCTCAGCCTCCTGAGTAGCTAGGATTACAGGCGTGAGCCACCAGCGCCCGGCCAGCTGTTAGTTTTTTAAGACAGGGTCTCAATATGTAGCACAAGCTGGCCTCATACTCTTTATTCTCCGGCCTCAGCCTCTATACCATTGGGATTACAAATGGATGTCAGTAGGCCCAGTGTCAATTTTTTTTTTAATTTTTTTTTTTGGGTCCAGTTGTGGGGCCTGAACTCTGGGCCTGGGCGCTGTTCCTCAGCTCTTCAGCTCAAGGCTAGTGCTCTACCACTTGAGCCACAGCTCTACTTTCAGGTTTTTCTGAGTAGTTTAGTGAGGATAGAGTTGCACAGACTTCCTTGTCCAGGCTGGCTTTGAACTGTGATCTTCAAATCTCAGCCTGCTGAGTAGCTAGAACTACAGGTGTGAGCCACCAGTGCCCAGTGTCAATAATTTTTTAAGGTAGCTTTTTATGATGTATCAATTGGCAGTTAGCCTGAAAGGAATAATTCATGGCATGATTCTTTAAAAACTGCAGAGATGCCTCCTTGTAGGCATGTGAATTACACCAAAGAGCCAACCATGGAGCATATATATCCAATATGGATTAATTTGGCACCCTATGTGTTATAGTCCAATCTCTACAGTTGCTTGACACCATGTACTTTGTACAAGGATTCATTACTGTTCTAAAGTCAGTTTGCTTAACTTTGAACCCCACTTGTGACCTCAGATATGGTACTTATTACTTGCACTCTATCTTAATTTCCTTAAATGCAAGATGTTTTTATTGTGTGTACTACACAGAAATAATAAATAACAAATACTTAGTAATAATAAGTACTTAGTGGAGTTCCTGGCACAAAGTTGGTGAGAAGACAGAAAATTCGCTATTTTTGTTTTAAGAACCTTCTTGTAGGGATGCTATTTCTTAGAGGGAAGAGTACAGGGAGTGTGATAGAGGGGGTGAAATATCAGAATACAGTGGAAACGTGCAGCAGTAAAACAACAAAATCCTACCCCAACCACATATAACTGATAGAAGCCAATTAAAAAATGAAAATAATTTTCTTCTAAAATAAGTTTTAAGAAGTAAAACTGGTTTTGAAGCAAGGCTTGCAGAATGATGCTGGTTTTCTTACCACTGGAGTCGGTTTCAGAATCAGAGTCACTATCACTGTCTTCAGAATACTTCTTGTGTTTTTTTTTAGATGATTTTTTCTTTCTCCTTTTCTTAGACCTTTCTTTTGAATGACCAGATGACTTCTTCTTCTTCTTCTTTTCATCTATAGTAAATACAAATAAAAATTACCTTCTAGTCAGGTGCAGGTAGCTCATACCTGTAATTCTACCTACTCAGGAAGCTGAGATCTGAGGATCATGGTTCAAAGCCAGCCTGGGCAGAGAAGTCCGTGAGACTCTTATGTCCAATTAACCACCAGAAAACTGGAAGTGGAACTGTGACTCAAACTGGTAGAGCATTAGCCTTGAACAAAAAGGAGCTCAGGGACAGCACCCAGGTCCTGAGTTCAAGCCCCTTGACTGATAAAAAATAACAACAACAATAACACCTGTTAGCTGGGCACCAGTAAGCTCACATATGTAATTTGAGATTCTTAGGAGGCTAGATCTGTTGTGATTCAAAGACAGCTTTGGCAGGAAATTCTGTGAGATTCGTCTCCCCAATTAAACACCAAAATCTGGAAGTGGAGCTGTGGCTCAAGTGGTAGAACCTAGCCATGAGTAAAACAACTCAGGGATACCATCCACGCTGAATTCGAGCCCCAGGGTTGACACAAAACACAAAAATCACTTCTAAGGAAATACTTCTTAACATTGATTTTATTATATTTGATTTTTTTTGCGGGGGGGAGGGTTTGTCGGTTGTGGGCCTGAACTCTGGGCCTGGGCACGGTCCCTCAACTCTTCAGCTCAAGGTTAGCCCTCTACCACTTGAGCCACAGCACCACTTCTAGCCTTTTCTGCTTATGTGGTGCTGAAGAATCGAACCCAGGGCCTCATGCATACAAGGCAAACACTCTACCACTGAGCCACCTTCCCAGCCCTTTATTATATTTGAAATACTGAAAAATAATAGACAATTGCCAACTTCAGTAAAAGCAAAGTAGAAATAATCTTCAACTACTCGTAAACTTTTTTTTTTTTTTTTTGCCAGTCCTGGGGATTGAACTTGGGGCCTGGGCTCTGACCCTGAGCCTCTCTGGCCTCAATGCTAGTGCTCTACCATTTGAGCCATGGCACCATTTCCAGCCTTTTCTATTTATATGGTACTGAGGAATTGAACCCAGGACTTCATGCATGCTAGGCAGGCATTCTACCACAGCCAGATTCCCAGCCCTCATAAACAAATTTTATATTTTAATTTTTTTTGTCAGTTTGTGGGGCTTGAACTCTGGGCCCGGGTGCTGTTCCTGAGCTCTACAGCTCAAGGCAAGCACTCTACCACTTGAAACACAGCGCGACTTCCAGTTTTCTGGTGGTTAATTGGCGATAAGAGTCTCATGAGCTTTCCTGTACAGGCTGGCTTTGAACCATGATCCTCATATCTCAGCTTCCTTAGTAGCTAGGATTACAGGTGTGAGCCACCAGAGCCCAGCAAGTTCTGTATTTTATTTTATTTTTATTTATTTTTTGGGTCCAGTCTTGGGACCTGAACTCTGGGCCTGGGCGCTGTCCCTCAGCTCTTCAGCTCAAGGCTAGCACTCCACCACTTGAGCCACAGCGCCACTTCCGGCTTTTTTTTCTTTTTGCTTATGTGGTACTGAGGAATTGAACCCAGGGCCTCAGGCATACAAGGCAAGCGCTCTACCACTGAGCCACCTTCCCAGCCCAAGTTCTGTATTTTAGAAGTACCTTCAGGGGTTGGGATGTAGCTCAGTGGCAAAGTGCTTGCCCAGCAAGTGCAACCTCCTGTGCTTGATCCCCAGTACCAAAAAAGAAAAGACAAAAACAAAACAAGTACCCAAAAGTACCTTCTGAACTTGATGCTGAAGTAGTGCTTTTCTTTGGCTCTTCATCCTCTACTGGTGTATGTTCATCAGAGCTAAATTTAAAGAAAATGGTTCTAAGAATTCTTTTAAAGTTATAAAATATAAACCAGAGCACTACACATGTTCTTTGGGCCTGGGCGCTGTCCCTGCACTCTTCAGCTCAAGGCCAGCACTCTATCACTTGAGCCACAGCGCCACTTCCTGTTTTCGAGTGGTTTATTGGAAATAAGAGTCTCATGGACTTTCCTTCCTGGGCTGGCTTTGAACTGGTTTTGAACCTGATCTTCAGATCTCAGCCTCCTGAGTAGCTAGGATTACAGGCGTGAGCCACCGGCGCCTGGCTAAACATGGATTTTAAAAAGTTAAATAACAGCATGGACTGTCCAAGAAACCATTAAAAGCAAACAGTGGGCTGAGAGCCAGTGGCTCACAATTGTAATCCTAGCTACTCAGGAGGCTGAGATCTGAGGATCACAGTTCAAAACCAGTCTGGGCAGCAAAGTTGGTGAGACTTTTATCTCCAACTAACCACCAGAAAACTACAAGTGGTGCTGTGGCTCAAAGTGGTAGAGTGCTAGCCTTGAACAACTGACAAAAAAATAAATAAAGCAAGCAAGCAGTCGACCATTTTTTTGGTGGTTGTGGGGCTTGAACTCAGGGCTTTGGTGCTGTCCCTCAGCAACTCAGCTCAAGGAGAGCACTCTACCACTTGAGCCACAGTGCCACTTCTGGTTTTCTAGAGATTTATTACAGATAAGAGTCTCACGGAGGTTCCCGCCCAGGCTGGCTTTGAACCAGTGATCCTCAGATCTCAGCCTCCTGAGTAGCTGGGATTACAGGCGTGAACCACTGGCGCCCAGCTTGGAACGTGTGTGTGTATGTGTGTGTGTGTGTGTGCTCGCCAGTACTAGAGCTTGTGTGTGTGTGTGTGTGTGTGTGTGTGTGTGTGCTCGCCAGTACTAGAGCTTGAATTCAGGGCCTTGGTTCTTGGAACGTGTGTGTGTGTGTGTGTGTCTCTGTGTGTGTGTGTGTCTCTGTGTGTGTGTGTGTGTGTCTGTGTGTGCTCGCCAGTCCTAGAGCTTGAACTCAGGGCCTTGGTTCTGTCCCTTAGCTTTTTTTGTTCAAGGCTTGCACTCTACCACTTGAACCACAGCTCCACTTCTGGCTTTTTGGTCGTTAATTAGGGATAAAAGTTGCATGGAGATCTGGGCGCCAGTGGCTCATACCTGTAATACTCTGGCGGTTGACATCTGACACCTGTGGTTCGCAGCCAACCCAGGCAGAAATGTCCCCATGAGACTTTTATCTCCAATGAATCACCAGAAAACCAGAAGTGGCAATGTGGCTCAAAGTGGTAGAGTGCTAGCTCAAGGACAGTGCTCAGGCTCTGAGTTCAAGCTCCATGACCAACCAACCCCCGGTAAAAAAAGTTCCATACTTAAAAATTCTGACAGTACAGCTGATATTTGGCAAAGGAGCCAAAGACATACAGTGGAAGAAGCACAGCCTCTTCAATGATTGGTGCTAGGAAAACTAGGTAGCCACATGCAGAAAACTAAAAGTGGACCTCAGTCTATCATCATGCACTAACATCAAATCAAAATGGAATAAAGACCTTAACATCAAACCTTAAACCTGAAACTACTGCAGGACAGAGTAGGTGAGACACTTGAACTTATAAACATAGGCAGGAACTTCCTGAACAGAGTCCCAGGGTCACAATAAATTGGAGAGAGACTCAACAAATGGGACTACCTTAAAATAAAAAGTTTCTGCACAGCTAAAGACATAACAACTAAACTAGAAAGACAGCCAACTAATTGGGAAAAAAAGTATTTACCAGCAATATTTCAGACAAGGGCCTAATATCCATTATATACAGGGAACTCAAGAAAGTAATCACTCCCAAATTAACAAACCAATCATTAAATGGGCAAGGGAGCTAAAGAGACTTCTCAGAAGAGATAAAAATGGCAAAGAAATACATGAGGAAATGTTCATCATCCCTGGCTGTAAAGGGAATGCAAATAAAAACAACCTGATATACCACCTTACCCCAGTCTGAATGGCCCACATCCTAAATTCAGCTAACAACAAATGCTGGAGGGGATGCGGAGAAAGAGGAACCCTATTGCATTGCTGGTGGGAATGTATACTAATACAACCACTTTGGAAAGCAGTCTGGAGGTATCTCAGAAAGCTAAATATAGACCTCCCCTATGACCCAGCCATACCACTCCTAGGCATCTACCCTGAGCAACAGGAACCAGGATACAAGGACACATGCACCTCTGTGTTCATGACAGCACTGTTCACAATAGCCAAGATATGGAAACAATCCAGATGCCCCACTACAGATGAATGGATCCAAAAAATGTGGTACCTATATACAATGGAATTTTACATAGCCATTAGAAAGGATAAAATAATGGCATTTGCAGGGAAATGGATGGAACTAGAACAAATCATTTTGAGCAAAGTAAGCCAACAGCAGAGGTAAATGGCACATGGTCTCCCTGATATGTGGATGTTAAATCCAAAATGCAAGGAGATATGACAAATTGAACAGGAATTGAGAAACAAAGGACCTCCACTCATTTTGTCATATCATTACTAAATGACCCCATGTTCTTGACCACATATATGGTATATATGTGCATATCTGAAGGAAGCTAGGAGGAAGACACAGAATCAGAGGGAAACAGGTGAAAACATACAACAGAGGGGCCCATCAGCTGCACTCGACATTGATGAAAATGAACTCAGTAACTCAAGGGCAACGATGAGAAGGAGGGAATGAGAGGGAAAGAGGAAATAGCTTACACTAAACAAAAGGAAAGAAATGTACATATCACCTGATGTGGAAGAAATAATTGTATTGTCAAAGCTCATAGAATACACAAACTTTATAGAACATGATGACAATTTGCCTCATGAAAGTTTAAGTGTGTTTGTGACTTTAACCAAGTATCATATCTCACAATACTGTAAAATTTGTGAAATGTATGCAACCACTTAATCACAATACAAATTTATAAAAAAAAATTGACAGTAAAGCTGGGCTGTCTGTGACTCATACCTGTCATCCTATCTACTAAGGTTCTGAGGCTGAGATCTAAGGACTTAAGTTCGAAGCCAGCCTGGGCAGACAAATCAGACTCTTATTTCCAATAATTAGCAACAAGCCAGAAGCAGAAGTGTAGCTCAAGTAGTAGAGCATCAGCCTTTATCAAAATAGCCAAGCTAGAACTCAAAGCCCTGAGTTCAACTATAATGCCAGAGAGCACATGCACGCACGCATGCATGTATGCACGCATGTATGCATGCATGCATGTACATGCACACCCCCCCCCCACATACACAGAAAAAAATCTGACAGTAGACTCAGGATTCAAACAAATGTTACAATGACTTAAAACTACTTACTCTGGCTCAGGGTTCTTTGGAGAAAGTCCCCATACTTCAGGAGCTCCTAATTCTCCAATCCTCTCTCTCTCACTTAATCTCCTAGAAGATAAAATATTTCAATAACTCAATGAATTGTTTCCAAAATACATAATCAGATTGATTCAACAGAAATTCCATTTCCCTTGTACATGTTATTTTTCCTTCTTCATTGAGATGAAGTCTAAGTTGTTCAGACTAGGTAGGAATAATTGGGCTCAAGTGATTCTTCTCCTGATTCAGCCATCTGAGTAGCTTGCTTGACAGGACATGACTCCACATCTGGATTTTGTGTGTGTGTGTGTGTATATGTGTGTGTGTGTGTGTGTTTAAATTTTATTTGATGCCTTTCCTGGGGCTTGAACTCAGGACCTGGGCACTGTCCTTGAGCTTTTGTGCTAAGGCTAGCATTCTTCCACACTAGAGCCACAGCTCCACTTCTGACAATTTTGGTAGTTAATTAGAGATGAGTCTCATGGGCTAAGCATTGTGATCCTCAGATATGATCTTCCTTAGACAAAGAAATTTAAAAGGGGACAAGTTGGGCCTATGTGTCTCAAACCCATAATCCTAGCTACTCAGGAGGCTGAGATATGAGAATCTCAGTTTGAAGTCAGCCAGGGCAAAGAGAGACTCTTATCTCCAATTAATTAGCAAAAAGCTAGTATTGGAGGCATGGCCTAAGTGGTAGAGTAACACCAAAAAGTCAAGCTCCAGGCTCTGAGTTCAAGCCCAGCCTCAGTGATCAATCAATCAATACCCAGAGTAGTAGAGGAAAGATTTCCTGCTAAACTGTAAGCACAAAGTCCCATTCTCATACCTGTTACCACTTGCCTTCATCTGTAGTTAAGATAATCTATCCTCTAAATGTATAAATGCAATTTCTTTTTTCAATCTTTTTTTATTGTGAAAATACTGTACAGAGGGGTGACAATTACATGGGCAAGATAATGAGTACATTTCTTATCAAGCATTGTAGCCTCTCCTTTGTTTCCCCTTCCCATCCCATCCTCCCCCCTCCCATCAAAGTTGTAAAGTTAATTTTCGACATAATGACTTGTAAGTCTCCTTGTTGCAATGGGTCCACCTGTATCCCTATTTAAATGATTTGTTATAAATGCAATTTCATCTGAGCAGTTCTTGAATGTTTTTCTGGAGTCTCCAGTAAGAAGCAATTTGCTTTGTGACTGATGTACTGTGAGTATCTTTATGACAACTTAGTTAGGTGAGGTAGGTTTCTAACCTATCTCAGGACTGTTTTTACTGTTTCTAGTACTATGTGCTCATGGAATACTTGTTTTGTTCCAGGCACTAATTATTATAACCCTATAAACCCTAGTACTAATTTTATATCCCACTTCTGTTGGCAGTGTTGGGGATTGAACACAGGGCCTTAAAAGCTTGCTAGGCATGCATTCTACTACTAAGTTAAAACCCCAGTCCCCAAGTCCCTTTAAATAGTGAAGAAATGAGGCTCAGAGAGGTTCCTAGGTTTACCAAGGCTATTATTAGGTGGTAAGTAAGGGCTTCAAACTCAGGCAGTCTGATATTGGAACCTGTCTTTTTCATCACTATTGTTTTGACTCACACAGCAATGTTATAAGCCTCTTCCTTTCTCCTACAACTATATACTCTCCCCACAACAGTCATTCTCATTAGAAGAGATCTAGGGCTGGGAAGGTGGCTCAGTGGTAGAGCGCTTGCCTTGCATGCCTGAGGCCCTGGGTTCAATTCCTCAGC